AAGTGTAGAGGAAACATTCTCTTACCATCATGGCCAGTTGTGACACTAGTAAAGTGTGCCGTGGCTCTTCCCCACCTCCCCTCCATGTGTACCTCTTCCCTCCCTTCCTGCAACCCCGGGTCTCTGTTCTTTATGATAACTCGAGACTCACATTCAAATTAGCATCCCCATCCTCACCATGCACATTTACATTTCACATCAGCAGGCCTTAAAAAATGTTTTGCCCGCAGGAGGACAGATTTACAACCGTGTACACTGTCCCAGGAGCTGAACAATTCATCACTGAGCAGACACCTTCAAGTTAGCCTCTGTTGCTGGCTACCTGTGCCATCTCTTCTCCAGAGCAGTATTGTGGGGGGCATCCTATATGAGTGAGTAATGATCTTTGTTCCAACCCTCAGGGTGAAACAAGTGGCCCCGTCTGTACAGGTGATTCTGTTAAGAGGCTTTGGGAGGTAGCAGACCTAAAATTGAGTTATTCCTAACACTCACTTTCTGTGTGAACTTGGGAGTCACTTAACCTTGCTGAGCCCAAGTTCTATATGTATAACACGGCAGTGATGTCATCTATCTATGTGGCTTTCTTGAAAAGCTAATTCATTCATATTAATGAAAGTACTTTCCAAACTATGAAGCACAGTCTTTTTTGAACCCAAATGGCCGTCACTGTTCTCTGCCTCCTCACAGAGTGTCCAGCTTCCAAGTCTTCTCCAGTATTTCTAGAAGTCACAGAGGCAACTCCACCGTCCACTTTGTTAGTAACCCTGTTGCTCTGCTCTAGGACCCGTGCCTCTCCAGTGGGCACAGCTTTTCTCTGTGTGCCACCGACATGCTTCGGTCTTGCCCACATTCTTGTTCCACCAGGCACAGCCTTGCTGGTGGCTGCCCTGAACCCTCGGCATGGCACAGCCATGCAGAGTGGAAAAGGATTGCTCTCTTCTTCCCTTGTGGTGTACCAAGGCAGTGTGGCTTGGTCCCCAGTGTGTGATTATAGAGAAAGAGCTGTTATTATTATTATTGTGATTAAATATACATAGATAAAATTTGCCATTTTCACCCTGTAAAGTATACAATTCAGTAGCATTAAGTACATTCGCAATGTTATCCAACCATCATCACCATCTAGTTCCAGAATGTTTTCATCACCCCCACCAGAAACCCTGTCCCAATTAGCGGTTACTCCCCATTCCTCCCTCCACCCAGCCCCTGACAACCACTGATCTACTTTCTGTCTCTCTGGATTTGCCTATTCTGCACATTTCATATCAGTGGAATCACTCGACAATACGTGGCCCCAGCACGTGGCTTCTTTCACTTGGCGTCATCCTCTCAAGGTTGTCCTTTCTGTTTCCACCTGGTGCTCTTTCTCTCCCTAGGACCAGGCTTGCACCAGGCGACTGGGCAAAGAGTGAGTTTGACTAGCCGTTATCTTCATGGTCTTTTCTGGATCCCAGTCCCTTTCAATGATAAAGCCCCACCCACTTCCTCCCTCCTTAGCGTGGCTCCTCTTCCCTCTGCAAATATATTTCTATGAGGCTACTCTAGTTCCCAGACATGCCCAGGGGTGTGTGAACATCAGCGGTGGATCGTAGCTTGCGCTCCTCCCCAGCAGATGCTCAATCCAAACCACCAGTTTGCCAACCATTCCCACATCTGCCTGAACCTCAAAAATCCAAGAAAATGCTGAAGTCGAGACCCTGACTAGAGTGCTTATAATCATGTGATATTATATTTTGCGTTAACAAAGGTGAAGGTGTTGCCCCAAATCGCACTTCCTTTAGCATGTGAGTGCCATTTTGCTTTCTGTGAATCCTAAGGTGTTCGAATACCTTGCTAAGTATAAGATGCATTAGTATTTTTCCAGAATCTTTCACGGACTTGCTCTTCATATGTGGTATATATGATGCTTTTACTTTCCATTTCCCTGATTTGGAAGTAATGTTATATAAATCCCATTGAGTATAATTCTGATACCTCTGGTTGTGTGACTCTCTCTAGATGTGTGGTTTCCTGAGAAAACCTTTACCAAAGATCCAAAAGAAGAATTTTTTTCTAATTTACAGCTGATGTATAGAAACTCAGCCAATGAAGAAATGCAAGATTCTTGGCTATTCCTTTGTCATATTAAATTATCTATTTGGGAAGTTTCAAGCCACTGGTTTTTCCATAGTCTCTCTTTTCCAAGAAATTCAGAGTTTGATGAAATTTTGTTTTGTTTATTTTTCAAAATTGCAAGTTTTTAAAATTTCAAATGTCCTAATGTAAATTTCTGTGCCTCTCTTTTCCTTTCATAGCTACCGTTATTGCAGTTAAATTTTACACTTAACATTGGCCTATGTAACGTACAGTAACCAGACATAGAGGAAACAATCATAAAAGGGCATAAATACCAGGGAAGAAGTAGAATCTTTAATCTTCTTTGATAAGGCCAGAGTTTTACCCCCCAAAATCATGACTTTATCCACAAATATTCTCTGTAGTTCAAATATATCCTTGAGGCTTCCTAACTTGTGTCCGTTTATCTCAATATGCTTTGTACAAGGAGCCATTAAGAGGCTCCATAGTTTAGCATTGTTTTACTTTTGTTTTCATATTATTGTGTTGGTGGCTTTGGTGTTTTTCAGATCAGACTTACGTTGTTGTATAACTCCTTCATGCTTTTCTTTGCATCCAATACATACCTGAATTGGATATTTGATTGTCCATCATTTTTTGCTTGCAGATGCCAAATTGGTTTATGTAACTCAAAGAGGTTTAGTTTAGGTTAATGCCTTTCCAGGCAAGCTGCAGGTTATGGGAAAGAAATAGCCAAGCAATGTGAACTCACTAACATAAAGCAACGAAGACACATTTGGGACCATGTCTCATTGGTAGGTTAAGGTCCACTGCACCTACCCATCTGCCAATATCTATCTGCCAATATTCCCGTCTTTTCTGTTTTTCAATGCTGATTTAGATAAATGCTTTTCTAACCAAAATGAAACAGTATGGTATTTAAGTCAACCATGAAAATAAGCACTGACATATGTGCCCCCCCACCTGAAAGAAATCAGGACAGGCTTGATTTGAATCAGGCATGAGGCCAGATGCAATCAGGTTCCCAAAGTCTGTAACTCCACCAGAAGAAGAATCGAGCCCCCTCCCCAGGACCCTCCAGACTTCAGAAGACCCTGGGAGGTCAGAATTGAGCCAGGCTCCCAGATCTTCAAAAAAAGGTGATTTTGTACAATAGGAGTTGGGGAGGTGGCAAAGCTAGACCATCCTCTTAAAGTTCCAATAAATGGGATGATGACTGGGTATTTTTGTATATATACTTTTTTTTTTTTAGAGTATTTCTAGGTTTGCAACAAAACTGAGCATAAAGTCCAGAGATTTCCCATTGACTGGGTATTTTCCAGTCCTCACTCACACAGACCATCTCTACCTCTAGAGTCCCAGAGCACTCTGGATTGATGTGCAAGGCAGGACACACACTGGACTGAGTGTTTGAACAGACCTAGAGCAATTTATTGACCCAGTGAGGACTTGCCATCCCAACTGGTCCAACGTGGAAGCCCTACAGGGTACCTGAGAGCACAGTAGAGGTATTTGATACCCCTGGGAACTGTCAAGCTATCAAGTATAGATTATATCATGTATATATACGTACATATATACATATATATATATGCACTTTTTTCTCCCAAAAACCCTGGTACATAGTAGTATATCCTAGTTGTAGTGATTGTATATTTAAAATCTACTTACCCAGAGGTTAATTGGGACTGATCCTCTTGCCACCACTTTCACAAGATAGGTTCTCCGCTTTCGCTAAGGTCTAAAGTCATTGAAGACTTCCCAGAGCCTCTGTTCCAAGGAGTCCATTCTCCACATTGTCCTTCACCTAAGCCATGCTGTCGTCTGGGTGTTTCTCCAGCCTAAAATATCCTCTCCTCCTCCTTTTTGAGGTATGAACTTCACTCTCCTGGAGGTTCTCTGCTCTCGTTCCACATCCTCCATGAATGCTGCCTTGGCCTCTCAGCCCACAAAGGACCTCCTTCCTGACTCTCCTGGCCCTTTTGGTCTGTTTCCACATAGTTGACCATCTAGTCAATTAACTGATATGTAACAACCATCTACCATTAGCAGAACTCTATAACAGGCACCCCCAAACCTCGTTGTTTCTTATGAGTTAATCTTATCTCCACGTACAGACTATAAGCTCCTTGAAGGCAGGACTAAGTCTCCTTTTTAAATCCTACATTCTACCTGGCACTGTACTAGCGCCTAGCTGATTTTCAATAAATTTTACAAAATGATTCTTAACTTTAAAAAAATAGTCACTGGTTGATTTCCTTACAGAAAAATGTCTTCAGGTGTCTTCAACACATGGTTTAATGTATACACGTTTGTCAAGAACATATTTGCTGCGTGAAGGCAGGAATATGATATATCACTTTACAGATCCACTGGATTAAAAAAAAGTATTTTTGAAAATAGGGACTAGTTTAATATTGCAAATAGCGCTTATTACCTTCAGAAATCTTGACTAATTCTAGGTAGGGGAGGAGCAGGAAAACCTGCAGGGTTCAACATTGGTCCTTGTATTTATTTGTAGGCTTGTTAGAAAGTTCTCAGGCAGAGAAGGAAGTGAACTTGTAGCAGTAATTTTCTCTAGATTATTCTGTGGCCAAACTAACTGTCTTTCTGCTGCAGAAATGTTCAGTGCTAGATGGGCATATGAGAACAAATTGAGTGTGCTCAGTGTAAAGACAGCTTGTCCCACCAACTCTTACCTTTCATATAACAAGAAAATCTTGAAAGATGATTTCGTTCTCTCGTTCCTTGCCTGTCCTTGAAGTGCTGATGTGTCTAGTCATCACAGGGTACAGTTCCTTCTGGTTTGGGGGTTCTTCTCTTGGATCAGCAGGAAAAAAATCAGACTCAGACTTTTGACTCCGCAAAACTGAGAAGCATGTACTATCTTTAAAAAAAAAACACTGTAGAAACTTGAAACTGACATGTCTAAGCAAATTGGCAGAGATCTGAGGCAGCAAGTGAAAATGACACCATTCACCATTAAAGGTACGGATGATAAAAAGGAGATTACAAACAACTTCGTTTTCTGTCCTTAACTCCAGTCGAGCATTTACCAAAAGAATTAAACTGGTTGAACTTTAAAAATCTAAGGCAAATCTTGAAAGCATGAGTGTATTTGCCATGCAGTGTGGAACGGAGAGAGAGAGAAAGCACTTGGGCATCACCTCCATTTCTAGGGCGTTCCCAGGGCTGGTGCGGCCCAATACCTTTGAAGGCAATGCCTGACGTTTTCCATTCTGGTCCTCCCTGAATTTTAAGATTTCCCCCAGAAGTGACTCTTTCTTTTCTGCCCCTCAACCCTCTTAGATACATAAGAGCTTCAGGGCGAGAGGGTCAACTTTTTCTAAAGGGCAGACTTCTCAGCTGGCACAGGACAAGCTGTCAAAGACACCACAAGATGTTTTGTCGTGTTGGTTTCAACTCCACGTTCCCTTTCTTTCCTTGTAGCTACCTCATCCCTGAACTCCCAGCTCCAGCAACTCCAGCAACTCCAGCAGCAGCAGCCGCCGCCACCGCCGCCACCGCCAACCGGCCAGCACCCGCAGCCAGCCCCGCAGGCACCCCCACAGTCCCAGCCGCCACCGCAGCCCCAGCCCACCCTGCCCCAGCAGCCGCCAGCCACCTCCCAACAGCTGCCAGCTCCTCCATCGCAGCCCCCGCAGCCTCAAGCCCACCCCCACGCCCAGAACCAGAACCAACCGTCTCCAACTCAGCACAGTGCAAGTCCCCCTCAGAAACCCAGTCAGTCTCCAGGACATGGCCTTCCGTCACCGCTGACGCCACCCAATCCTCTGCAGGTATGCTCCCCGTCGGTCTGGCCCCACGAGCACAGAGGACCTTTCCGTGGGGTTGTGCTATCCCCGAAGGCAGAGGGCCAGCAAAACTTAGCATCCAGTTCCGCAGCGTCTAATTCAAATTGATCTCTTAGAGGGAAGAGGAAGCAAATAGCAGGCAACCGGGGATGCATGTAAAAGAAACAAATAGAAGCCCATTGATGTTGTCCTCCAAAGGATAAATGTTAGCTGTTTCCTCCTGTGAGAGGCCAGCACTGTAAGTGCACTTGTAGCCTGTAATAATTCCATTTTATGACACTTTTTGAAGGCAGTAAAGATAGCATCCAATTAAAATTATTACTAGCACAGTTTTGTAGCCCTGTGGAGAACTGCCTCTCTGTCCACGAGGCACGGTGGTTATTTCTCTATATTATGAATACGACAGTGTCTTACCTTAAGTACTTTGTGCTCTTTTGTTTCTATTTTTCTAAAGACTCTCTGGGGTTAGGAGGGTAAAGAAATTTAGTCCCAGTCTTATGTCCCAGATTCCAACCATCACTCCGTAGACTAAGAAGTACTCTAAAGTCATACCAAGAGCCTCAACAAATATGCATCTCTATAAAATATAAAGCTTTCGTATATTTGCTTTATTACTATGAGGCTGAGGGCATCCAAAATAGATATTTCAGGCTAATCATGAAAGCTCATCTTTAATCTACTATCATCCAGGAGCAATGGATAGGAGCATTCAGGGAGGTATGGAAGTTCAGAAAACCATTCTTAACTTAGAGGCCTTTAGAATGAAGTAGCTTCGAAATACAATGACTGTGATGTCAACACATCAGGTCCAGAAATTAATAGCTCAGTTTTTGACTTACATGATGTTTTCCCCAGTGAGATTTCGGATGGTTTAGTACAATTGTAGCACAGTGACAAAGACCAGCAGAGTGAGCAGCCCTGCCCTCAGTTCAAATGCCAACTCATCCCCTCCATGATGGTGGGGCACTCAGTCCTCCTCCACCTGAGGACAACGATAGCAAGGGCATCCCCAGGTCCTAAATAACAAAGTATACAAAGTCACGGTAGACTGGCAACAGACAGCAAGACAAGTGGCTTAGAGACTCAGCATTTTAGAATCACCTTAGCTTGTTGTTCCATAATTTGTTTCTATGAACTTAGATTCTCAGTGGTGGCCCAAAGTTTTCCTGGAAATGAAAACATTTGGGTGAGATGAGTGAGTGTGTTTTCCTTGGCACTTGAGTCTTGGCTACTTTCAATCTGAACATTTTCCTGAGTTGAGTTTGAAGATGTATCTTTAAAAATCTTACAAGTATGAGACAATGTAGTACCTTTGACAGGCGACTGAAATGAACACGGGCTAAAAAAGTCTTCATTGTACACTTGACATCTATAGACTGAGTAGGTATAAATCAAATTTACAAAATGCATCATTACAGCAATCCTAACGTTTTCAGCATTTGGAATTCAACTCTATTATTACAAAGAATTGGTTTAATGCTTTTTAAGAGAAGATAAATTTGATGTACCTATATGCTATATGATTAAATGCTTTCTCTAACTGAGACACCAAAATAGGTGAAATTACTAAAGAAAAAACTTGTCCTGCTCAAAAGGATGAGATTTCTTAGCTCTGTCCCAGTTGTTGTGTGTGGTCCAGTATTCTTTACAGTTGAGTGAAAGCTTTGAGCTCTGTGGACACCAGGCTTCCCCAAACACTGTAACTTCTTATAAATCTCTATGGACCAGTGAAAGTCAAGTATAGATGACCCATCTGAATGGTTGTGGACAGGACTTTAGATGTGGCAACCACTCAGCTTCATGGAAATAACTTCTATTAGGAGAATTTCCAGAAGTTCTCCTAACGGTTTCCCATGGAAATCCAGGGGCTTCATTTGCAACAAATGAAGGCTCAGAGCCACATTTCTTTCTTTATAACCCTGAGCGAATACTCTCATTTTTCACCATTGGAGTTTGAACTTCTAAATTTAATAAATACCTTGGTAAGATAATACTCTGACTTCTTCTGTGGATCTAATGAGTAATCGCCGAAAGGGTGATTTGGTAAACTTTTTAAAATATTATTGAGCAGATAGAGAACTAATTTTGAATAAATCTGTATCGGTAGGAATAAAAGGATTTTTTTCCTTTACTACAGGCTTGTGTAAAGGAAATGGAAACTCCTATGTTTTTGAACTATTGTTTTTATCTCTACTAGCTGAAGGGTTTTTGAGTTTGTAGAACGTAGAATGTTTGAACTTTTGAAAAAGAACACAATTTAAAAGGAACTACAAAGATATTTAACTCTCAAAGGTAATAGTCTTTATGAACTAGAATACAGTGTTTTTGTTTGAAGATTATTAAGGGAATAAAGATCAACTAAATTCATATATGACAGCTTAAATTCTATTTTACAGTTCTTCATTTTCCTGTGAGCTTTGTCTTTTTACATTATTCAAAATCTGTCTGAAAAATATTAGTTTAGCACTATGCAACTTGGATTGTCAGGGAAAGCCAGTAATTCTAAAGTTTTTTTGCTAAAACAAAAACAAAAACAAAACTTTGAAAGATAATAGTTATTTTTAAACTGTACAGATGCTGTCACGTCTTCCGAAAAAAAAAATAAATGAAAGTGGCCTGTGCAGGTATATTTGGGTGAGGTCATTTCTCAAGATGAAAAAAAAAAATTAATAGTGCTGCAGGCCATAACACTCTGGACTAAAATTCTCCAAACAGTTCTTGCCAGGTTTTTCTCTAATATTGCTATATAATTTTTTTTCGCTCTTTTACTCAATTCCATGAAGTGGATTGCATTTCCAAAACCAGGTTGTTGTTTCAAGACAGGTAGGAGAGTAAAATATTACCACTTCAGAGAACTAATTTTGATTGCTCAGGGTTACAGGAGAGCTCGTGGTCTAGTGTGGATACCAGACGCTCGCCCCTCTGGTCTCTTTAGAATCTTCGTTAAGACTCAAGACCCACCCACCCACAACTTCATTCTCAGGAGGGATGAGAAGAGACGTTCCAAGAGATTACAAGCAGGAAGGTCTTCAGGGGCCAGGCAGCCAGTATAAACAAGTAAAGCAGACTTGGATATAAATCTCAAAGTCAAATTCTGAAAACAGAGTATGGGGGCCAGCCTGGTAACATAGTGGTTAAGTTCATGGGCTTTGCTTTGGTGGTCCTGGGTTCGTGGGTTTGGATCCTGTGCATGGATAGTAACAGATGTTAGCTCAGGGCCAGTCTTCCTCAGCAAAAATAAATAAATAAAATAAGATATTGTGTGGCTCAAACAAGATGCATCTATGAGTTGAATTTAACCCTTAGGTTCCAAGATGGATATCAATCCATACTCTATGTTTTTGTTCTAACCCATCCATCACGGGCTGTGCTAGAATCTAAAACTAGAAATATAAGAGTATGTTGGGTCGGGGCAGATCAGAAACATAAATCGAAGCCACTTTTTTGGGGAAAAGATATGGTCTAATCATTCCTGGTAGGAAAAACAAAGCACGATTTTAATTTCAATATGTAATTTTGATCTCGATAAAAACCCCATGAGCATAAGAATGGTGACCTTCCTCCTTTCTATGACCTTGGAAGTAGCTTTTCTTGAGATTCCTCCTTGGGAGATTTTATTTGACTAGGGAAATTAGAAACATGGTGTAAAAGCCCTAATGTGTATATATTCCTGTGTGAGTGACCTGGAGATGAGCTGGGCGTGGCTGGAGCCTAGTCATGGTGCCAGGGGAAGAAGAATCCTGAGGGTTTGAGGCCTCCTTCTGGTTCTGACCCTGCTTCTAACTAGTTGACAACTTTGCACAAGTCACATCATTTCTTTGGACTTCGTTTCCTTCATCTGTTAAAAGTGTGGTCTATATGACTTTTAAGATCCTTGTCAGGCCTATGAGTCTGATCTAAATGTTGATAGGCCTCTAGAACTTTATTGGCTATTGAAAGCCCGATGGACCTGAAGATTCTCTCAGTATTCTTCAAGGTCAGGTTAATTTCTTCCCACTCAGCTGGGTGGCAGATTGGAAAGAGAGTGGGGACAAGCGTAAGTGGGATAATGATAGCAGAAGCAGGTTTTATCTTAGCCAGAGAGTCCAAATTAAAGTCAAGTTTCTATCCTCAGAGAGTCACCGCTGTAAACTCTGGTCCCAGATTGCTTTTCCACACCTAGACATTAGAGAAGCTTAAGAAACCAAATGCTGCATTTAACCTTGGCCTTCCGCATACTATCTTGCATGGCAGGAAGCAAGATAATCTTTCCCTTTTCTTGTTGTAGTGCGTGTTTTAATAAATAACAGAGGGAGAGAGAGATCAGTGGAAGCTGTTAGTGGAAGGAAAGCTATCTGTGCTTGTATGAGGGATGAGGGGCATGGCCACCTCCTCAGAGGTGAGGTTGCTTGAGAGAGAGTGCAAAATTGTTCTCCACCACGTGCATTTGCTAATGTAAAAGTCTTGTTACAACTCAGGCATCCGGGGGTAAAACCGCATCCAGATTCCATCTCTGCTCTGCAGTGGGCCCAGCATCCCTATCTTCTCGTTTGGGATGTTTTCCCGCTGGCAAACTTTCAGTACTAAGTTTCAAGTGTGTGGATGATGGAGAGGGTGGTACATTATCACTTTTTTTTCTAAAGATTTTATTTTTCCTTTTTCTCCCCAAAGCTCTCTTGTACACAGTTGTATATTTTAGTTGTGGGTCCTTCTAGTTGTGGCATGTGGGACACCACCTCAGCGTGGCCTGATGACTGGTGCCATGTCCGTGCCCAGGATCCGAACTGGTGAAACCCTGGGCCACCGATGTGGAGTGCACATATCCAACCGCTCGGCCACGGGGCCAGCCCCACATTATCGCTTTTTAAAACAAAGAGCCCAAACTCTTGAGAAGTAATTAGACCTATGTGACTTTCATCCTGTTTAAAGCAAATTGTCTGCAATGATGGATCCTTCCCGTAGAAACGGCCCAGTACCCTGACTCAGCCCCCTTTCTCCTCAGAGGTTAGCCTTGATCAATTTAACGTGATTTTAGTCAAAACTCGGTGGGTCTAAGAGCAATCCAGGCCATGAGGACTTCTTAAAACCTAGAAGAGTCCAGACAAAGTGAGTAAGGCTTCCTCTTGGGC